GTGGGTTTGTGCATAAATGTGAGGCCTCAACTCCCCCGTAAGCATGCCTGTCTTTTGTTGGTGAGAAGTGTGGGTAGGTCCTGGTTTGTGGGTTTATAATTTAATACTATCTATATTGTTAATTATTGTGATTAAGCCCGTCTGGATAGTGCGTTTTTAAACACCGGATCCACATATTTTAATGGCACTCTAAAATCTTTCAAATGTTATATATATATATATATATATATATATATATATATATATATATATATATATATATAAAAGAACACTCAGGAGCGATGCAAATTGTTAATATAGTCAGATTTTCAGAATGTTCTGGATAAAAAAAAATATTGGTGTACTGAGCAACAAGCATAGAACAGGTTGCCCAAAGAAAACAATAACAGTTGATGGCAGAAACATTGTGAGAGCTGTGAGGAAAAAACCCTAAAGCAACAGTCACCGTCATCACCTAAATCCTCCACAGTGCATGGGTGAAGACTTCACAATCTACCGTTCGAAGAAGACTTCGAGAGCAGAAATATAGAGGCCATACCACAAAATGTAAATCACTCATCAGCAGAAAGAATTGAAAGACGAGATTGAAATTAGCAATGAAATATAGAGATGAGCGACAAAAGTTTTAGAAGAAAGTTTTATGGACTGATGAGACTACGATTAATCTCTCTCAAAATGATGGAAAAGACAAAGTTTGGAGAAAGAAAGGAGCTATTTATTATCCAGAGCATAGAAGCTAATCTGCAAAGCATGGTGGAGGCAGTGTCTTTGTTTGGACTTAAACGGCTCCTTCTTGAACATGCTCATTTATATTTTTTGATGATATAAATCATGATTGTATCAGCAGAATGAATCCAGACGTCTACAGAAATATTTTGTCTGCCATTTTACAAATGCATCCTAATTAATCAGGAGGATATTTATCATGCAGCAGGATAATGACCCAAAATATACTGCCAACATCAAAAAAGTCTTAATCAGGGGAAATAACTGGAGAGCTGTAGACTGGCCAAGTCAATCATCGGACCATATACCAATGGAGCATGCATTTCATCTTCTGAAGAAGAGAGTGAAGGAAGAAACTGCCGAGACAAACAAGAACTGAAAGTGGGTTGGTTAAAGTATATAAACGCATCATAAATGAAACATGCAACATTGTCATGATGTCAGTGGGTGGCAGGATTTATGCAGTTATTGCAACAAGGTTTAGACAACCAAATGTTAGGGGTTATTTACTTTAGTTCTATCTGTTCCTTTACATTTGGTCAGCTAATATTGAAGGAATCTGACACAAGAGGTGCTATGCCGTAAACTATTTAACACATCTAAATGCAAATACCAGGAAATAGAAACTGATATACTAATCTCTTACCTGTTATTCATCTTTGGATTTGAAATACTAATGTCTTCAGTGAAAAACAAATTTGAAAAGATCTATGTGGATCGATCTGCTAACTTACAAAAGACTACTGTATATCAGATGGTATTTTGTATGCATATACCTCTTGTACTTCGGAAATATAGGTCTTATTAGCACGCACACACACACATATATATGTATATAAATATATATATATTATATACATACATATATAATATGTTTGATTTATATATATATATATATATATATATATATATATATTTATATATGCATGATTATCAGAAACCAAATATTCATATGTATATAGGATATATATATATATGTATGTATGCATATATATATATATATATACATATACAAACATATATATATATAAGCATATGTATATGTGTTTTGTTTGATTATATATATATGTGTGTGTGTGTATATATATATATGTACATAAAGATAAATATATATCTGTATATATAAAATATATGTATATACATATATTTTTTTTGATTACACATATATGTATATATGCATGATTATATATAATATATGTATATATATATATATACATATGTGTGTGTGTACAAGCATATATATATATATATATATGTTTGGTTTGATCATATATATATATATATATATATATATATATACAAAAATATATATATATATATATTCATGATTATAAAAAACAAATATATATAATCATATATATATGTACATAAGGATATATATATATATATATATATATATATATATATATATATATATATATATATATATATAAGCATGAACATATATATTTTGTTTGATTATATATATATGTATGTATATATGCATGATTATAAGCAACCAAATAAGTAAATATATATAATATATATATATATATATATATATATATATATATATATATATATATATATATATATATATATATATCCGTGAAATCACGTATACAAGGGTAAGCCATTTTCCCTTGCAGGTGTGGTACTTTTGCAGCTATTTCTTACAGCTGCACATGTTCTTGGGCCGGACAATGTATTGACGCTTGTCACATCCCTGCTGAGTTTAAACGAACAACGCATGCGCACACACATATCACTCATCCGCTATCCATGCAATGCCTTTTAAGAACGTTCCCAATTTCACACGATTTGTTCTACACATTTTTTTTTTTTTGCCTTGCACTCAAAATCCTTGACGCTTTTAATAGCAGTTGTAACAGCAACAACAGGAAATATTCGTCTTCAAAATTAACGACCATTTAACATGGCTCGTCTCCCTCATTTAAATTTATCGGCCTTTTATTCATATTTTAAAACAAATTTAACAATCCCTGTTATACTTGTTGATTACAGAAAATTTCCTTTAATATTTATGTATATATATATATATATATATATATATATATATATATATATATTTTATTTTACGTTTGTAATGCGAACATTATTATTGAAGTCCTGAAGAGTGAAGATTGAGGAAATTACGAAATTGAGAATCAACATTGATAAGTCTATTGCTTTATTAAATATTCTAATATTCTAATATTAACTTAATTAAATATTCAGCTTGTTTTAAAAGAAATTATTTACACTTGGATACCCGTTGAAATATATAAGTAGACTGTGTGTGTGTATGTTTGTATATATATATGTATATATATATATATATATATATATATATATATATATATATATATATATATATATATATATATATATATATATATATATATATATATATATATATATATATATATATATATATATATATAAATATATCAAAAAATAAAATATAGTCAAAAATGTTAATATGTAATAAACATCAATTTTCTTGACAATATTAGTAACCTGTCTATTCAATCTCTCTCTCTC